TATATATTTTCTCCTTGTTAATAATTCCACCATTCATGTAACATGCAACAAAGTCTGGGAGCCGTTGCCTAGCCTCTCCCTAATCCCCCATGTGAGAACTGTCCCCAGACTGTGTCAATGAACCTACTTAAGGTCCTCATAGCTGCCACACTTCTTTATCCCCGCTACCCAAATCGAGGTCTTCCCCTGGATTATTGCCGTTAAGTTTTAACTGGATTCCTTGCTTCCTATCTCCCGCAATTGTGATTCATCCTCCCACCTCCCAGAACGATGATAATAAAATGCAAAATTGATGATTATACATGTTGCTTAAAACTCTTCCAAAGCTCCCAATAGAATAAAGTCAAAATGCTAGTGTAACACCCAAAATTCCCTCTGATCTGGCTTCTGACTGCTACGACCCTGGCCTCCTGTTCCTACCTAATGGGCTAAACTCTGTCCATAGCAATCACTTGCTATTTCCTAATTTGCTACCTGTTTCTTGCCTCCCTGCCACCGCACATCCTCTACAGCGCCTTCTGCCTGGAACATCTTCCTTCCTGTTCCCTTTCCAATCCCCAGTCACCTGGAAGACGCTTACCCCTCAAGACCCAGCATCCCTTCATGGATACTTTCCTCAAGGAGAGTTGATTACCCACTCTTGTTCCATCACTGTACAAAATCCTGTCCCAGCCTCAACACATAATGTGATCACGTTTTACATCTCCATCTCCCTTATTTTATTACTGGCTCCTAGAGGACAGAAAGTTCGTCTTATCTTTGCATTCCCAGTGCCTGGTATGTCACAGATGTTCAATGAATGTTTGTTGAATGAAGGAATAAAAGAAGTCACAATACATAGTGATATTTGATATATACAAAGTAAAGAAGAGGGAAAATTTACAACATCTATCCTAGAAACCTGGAACAGTAGTAGAATAATGAACAGAAACGAGAAAATTAAAAGGCATAGAGGCCAGGAATTCAGTTTGAGGTGATTAAAGAAAAGGATGGACTTGGTTTTTCACAGGTTGAACTGTATTTGTACCAGGAGGTGGTTAGAAAAACAGGATCAGAAAATAAATGAAAGTTCAAGGTTAAGATTATAGATTTGAGGATTAAAATAGATGATTATTATAACTAACAGAAAAGTTTTCCAATTATACAAGAGTAGAATGAACAATTTTATTAAACTTATTCTAAAAGGAAAACCTCAAAGGGCTTTCTAAACATGGTTTCAAATAATAATCACAAAAGTAATATTTAATGGAACCATAGTTTATCATAATCCTTTCAAAAGGCAAATATAAAAAAGAAAATAAATGAAAGGCTCATCCAGAAAGAACTTCTTCTTAGGACAGTACCCAAACCAAAAGCAGGAACCTCTAGGACTGGGTCACTGTTTCTTCCTTAGAACACTGCCTCATGGCTATTCTCACCTCCACCTTGACAGTCACCTCTGGTGACGTCAGTGAACAGTAGGATATAGGATATAGGAAAACTGTCTATTTCAGGTCCCTGATTTCCATGCTCTCTGCAAAGCCTTACAAACTCATCAGGTATTATATTAATACTGTACAGATGTTGCTTACATCTTCATGATGCCAAAACGACTGGTAAAAAGACAGAAAAATAAAACAAAAATGACAAAAAATAAAAACATACGATCAACTTGTTATATAAGCCAGCTCATGAGATAAGGTATAAACAACTGATTGTTACAATTACACAATACTAAATAACTTATCTGATTTTTTTTCCTGAATTGACCTGTGTGTGTGTGTGTGTGTGTGTGTGTGTGTGTGTGTGTGTCTCTACCATGCAGACACAGCCAGTGACTGACAGAGGAAATGTGCTTTGCGACAATATAGTCAACCCAAATAGGCAAAAATCAACAAGAATATATGATTACTTCCTTGATAACCCAACATAGGTGGGGCACTGGAAAATGTTTGGGGCTAGAAAACACCTATCCCCCTGGGACTTTTATATAATCTACCACAGTGGACAAAGTAGTTCCAATCCAGGTTTTGTGATTTACACTATCACCAGGCTAGTCCACTTTGCTTACAGCTTCCTAAATCTCCCTTCTCTATCAGTCTTAAAACCACATCCAAACAGACTATGCTGTTAATAAAGCGTGTTGCAGCTCTGCTCTCCTGGACTGACACAGCCCTATCATATTGGGCACGAAGTCCAAGACTCTTATTCTTGGGCTTTTAAAGCACTTCACACTTCTTATCCCTCATCCCTCCCCCTCTCCTTGGGAATCAGAACATCCTGGAGTACAACACCAGAAATACCTGATTCTACACTAAGCCTGCGACAGGACCCTCCCCAGACTCTCCTGGTCTTCAGACCTGTACCAGGCACACATTGGAGTCAGGCAGACCTGGGTTTGTGATCACAGTTATATCACTTATTAGCTGTGTGATTCTATGCAAGTAACTCAACTTCTAAGAAATTACTTCTTTACCAAAAAAAAAAAAAAAAAAGGGAATAATAATAGCAATCTGATGGTCTTGCCATGAGGATGAAGACAACATGGGTAAAGCAATCACCACAGCCCTGGACCATGAAGATGCTCAGTGAATACCCACCCTCCCTCCTTTTCCTCTATGCAGTTCCATCCTGTTTGGGGCTGCTCTTGTACCGTCCACACAGGACAGTCTCAACTCCTAGGTTTCTGTTAATACTTGCCACTCACGTGTCAAAAACAGGTTTAGAGACTGAATTTGAGGGAAGTGACAAGTACTCCAATCAAAATTAAACTATACTTTGAGTATACTGACGAATTGTCTTCTCATATATACTTTTAGATGGCTCATTGGATAGGGTAACTTTGCCTGACATTTTCACTTTTAGATTTCTTCATTTTTAAAAAACAAAATTTTAATATGTTTGTATTCACATATATTACATATACCCACAAATATATATGACTATATGTACTTAATTGCAGAAATGCTTAATATTTACTGAGCACTCGTGCTGTGCCAGGCACTGTGCAGAGATAGCTCATTTAATTCTCGGAGCGACCCTACCAGAGAAGTACCATTATTACCCCTATTTTACAGATGAGGAAACTGAGGCTTAAGAATGTTAAGTAATTTAACCACACAGCTAGTAAGTAAACATTAGCACACTCAAAACTGCTAAATAACCAATTGTGTTCCTGGTGCTTGTGTTTTATTTTAATTGAAAGTATAGAGGCCATGGTTTAACTGCTTTTTTTTTTTTCTGGTGGAGATAGACTTTTTTTTTTAAATTTTTATTGGAGTATGGTTGCCTTACAATGTTGTGTTAGCCTCCAATGCACAACAAAATGAATCAGTCATGCACATAGAGATATCCCCTCCCTTTTGGACTTCTCTCCCATTTAGGTTACCTCAGTGCATTAGGTAGAGTTCCCTGTGCTAAATTCGAATGAAGCTCACTGCTCAGTTCCAAGCAGAAGATAAACAGGAGGACAGGCATTACTTTAAGAGAGTGATGGGTTAAAAAGGATCTTTTTGACCCACCTCCTAGAGAAATGGAAATAAAAACAAAAATAAACAAATGGGACCTAATGAAACTTAAAAGCTTTTGCACAGCAAAGGAAAACATCAACAAGACAAAAAGACAACCCTCAGAATGGGAGAAAATATTTGCAAATGAAGCAATTGACAAAGGATTCATCTCCAAAATTTACAAGCAGCTCATGCAGCTCAATATCAAGAAAACAAACAACCCAATCCAAAAATGGGCAGAAGACCTAAATAGACATTTCTCCAAAGAAGATATACAGATTGCCAACAAACACATGAAAGGATGCTCAACATCACTAATCATTAGAGAAATGCAAGTCCAAACTACAATGAGGTATCACCTCACACCAGTCAGAATGGCCATCACCAAAAAATCTACAAACAATAAATGCTGGACAGGGTGTGGAGAAAAGGCAACCCTCTTGCACTGTTGGTGGGAATGTAAATTGATACAGCCACTATGGAGAACAGTTTAGAGGTTCCTTAAAAAACTAAAAATAGAACTACCATACGACCCAGCAATCCCACTACTGGGCATATACCCTGAGAAAACCATAATTCAAAGAGTCATGTACCACAATGTCCATTGCAGCTCTATTTACAATCCTCAAGACATGGAAGCAACCTAAGTGTCCATCGACATATGAATGGATAAAGAAGATGTGGCACATATATACAATGGAATATTACTCAGCCATAAAAAGAAATGAAACTGAGTTATTTGTAGTGAGGTGGATGGACCTAGAGACTTTCATACAGAGTGAAGTAAGTCAGAAAGAGAAAAACAAACACCGTATGCTAACACATATATATGGAATCTATTTTTAAAAATGGTTATGAAGAACCTAGGGGCAGAACAGGAATAAAGACGCAGACGTAGAGAATGGACTTGAGGACATGGGGAGGGGGAAGGGTAAGCTGGGACGAAGTGAGAGAGGGGCATGGACATATATACACTACCAAACGTAAAATAGATAGGTAGTGGGAAGCAGCCGCATAGCACAGGGAGATCAGCTCGGTGCTTTGTGACCACCTAGAGGGGTGGGATAGGGAGGGTGGGAGGGAGACGCAAGAGGGAGGAGATATGGGGGGATATATGTATATGTATAGCTGATTCACTTTGTTATAAAGCAGAAAATAACACACGATTGTAAAGCAATTATACTCCAATAAAGATGTTAAAAAAGAGAGAGTGGTGGGAGTTGTAACCCGAAGCCTCCTTCAGCGTCCGCCCGAGAGGTCTGGGAGGCTGCTCGGGCCCGGTGCGCGTCTATAAACTCCCGCGGGTCTGGTGTGTCTCTTTCTTCCAAAGTTGGAGCTCTCCTTGGTGGGAGGAGGCGGGGAGGAGGGGAGGCCAGTGACGTCACTCGGGAGCGGGGATAAAGCTCCCCGGCCGCGGTCCGGCGAGGACACTGCCCCAGGAGCAGAGTGGGCTGCTCCGCTCGAGGACACTCGTTGCGCCCCCGCCCCAGAAAGGCCGTGGCAGGAGGCACCATGCCCCAAAACGTGGTCCTGCCGGGCCCTGCGCCCTGGGGCTTCCGACTCTCGGGGGGCATAGACTTCAACCAGCCTTTGATCATCACCAGGGTAGGTGTTTTCCGTTCTTCTACTGCAAGTCGGGGACTCTGGCGTGCCGCGGGCCCCCCTGGAGAGAAGAGTGGCCAGCGAGGCACTGGGGTGCGCTGGGTGGGGCCTCGGCTTCGGGTTCACGGTTCGAGGGAGGGCAGCACCTTGGCAAACTAGGTCTGGAGGATGCAGAGCAGCTTAGAGAATTAATCCAGTCAGTTCCAATGGTCTCTGTCTGCAACCTGTTGGCCTCCAGCCACTTTCCGAGGAGAGAAGAACGGACGGCGTGGTTTCCCTGCGCTCAGAGAGGGCGAGGCTGCGAGGTGGGCGGCCTTCTCGCCCTCCCCTCCGGGTCTCCTTTCAGTAACAAATGAGATGGGGTCCAGAGAAGGAGAGACAGTGGTGGCTGTTTGTTGGAGAGAGACAGGCAACTGAGCGCTTTCCCGGTCCGGAGGAAAACTTCAGCAGGGCGCTGTTCGCAGGGCAAGACCTCGGCTGGCCAAGTTGGAGGCGCTCCCATCAGCCCAGACAGGGACAATGTCACTAATCTGTATTCCTAGGTTTCCAGGCATTTTGAATAAATATTTTCCAAAGCTGGAACTTGGCTTAGAAATCATCATCTACAACTCAAACTACAAAGAAAATATGTCAGATAGTTTCGTTTACCTGATGGAGAACCATCCTCAGCCTAATAACTCTGAATACTTGACAATCAAAGTCAAGCTTTCCTTACTTAATATTCTCTAAAGTATTGTCTAATTAAGAAAAAAGAAAATGGATACTTCAGGATCTGTCGTCAGTAAATTGGTCTAGTTGACCTTTTTTCCAACATGTGTTTGTCTTAACAGAAAATTATTATTATTTCAATTATCACATATAAAGCCTATTAAACCTAATTTTAAAACATAAACTCTCAGAATATTTATACCTTTACTATGCTTTATTTTGTTCCTTACTGCTAATACTATATTTTATAAATGTATACCTTATAATCTGATATCCTCACATAGGCTTTGAACAAGGTAATACTTTTTAAATTCTGTTCTACTTACGAGTTCTAAGAATGAATGGCTTTTAAAAATATCTCAAAACATGTATCCATGGAACAGATGCATACCATGGAACATTTCAAGCTTCGTTTTACATTTTTTGAAAACATATAAACATAACTGACATGTGTTTTCATATGAGACATGAAAATTTAACATACCCCAAAAATGTTCCTAAGTAAATTAGGCAGAAAATGGTTCAGTGACCTGAGCCAAGCAATGCCTTTTATGGATTTACCAAAGGAAACAGTTTGCATTATCTCTATGAAGAAATATTTTTAAAGTTTCTGAAGTATAGTGTTCATTTGTTTATATTAAATAAGCTCTTGAATCCTTACAAAGGATAAACCATATTTATATTAAACCTTAAAGGAATAATTTTGTCACAGAAATCCTGTCAGTGATTTATAAAAGAAATATCTCACTATTACTGTGGAACATGTCAATATGATTAATCTTATGTTTGAAATGTTGAGTTCTTGACATTATAAACAGTGTTTATTTCAAAGCAGAACTTAACATTTTGCAGTTGACTGCAGGAGCTATCGGTAAATATATTTGATCTGATGACAGTTATTGTTTGGGAAGCCAATTCCGTTTGAATTTTTAACTCATAACTAATTTGTATCACTCATATTGACACTTGGTTCAATAACAGTGCACGAACACATCTGATAATTTTATTTGACTACGGCTTTTCTCTTTAATTTAACTCAAGGAGAGCGGGTGAACTAAACTGTTTTGTATTCCAAGTGTACCCAAAGCCACTCACATGAATAGATTCTTATTGAATAAATGCAAACATATTCATGTGAACTTTTTTGCCTTAGTGAACACCTAATTGAGAGTATTTCCACTGAAATTATAAGAATACTAAAACTCATTTGGAAAAACGACTAAAAAATATTACACAAACATAGTTATCAGTGTTGTAATTAGGTAGTAGAATTCTATTAATATTTTTATACTGTGTTAAAAGGTAGTGAATGAGACTGTGTGTGTGTTAGTATACTCTTTTGCCTGCTATGCACTCTTCTAAGCCCTATATATGCACTCACTTAGACCTCACAAGAATCCTATCAGAGTAGTAGTAGTAATATCCCTTTCTGCAGATGAGAAGAGTGAGGCTTCAAGAGATTCATTAACCTGTCAATGACCACAAGTGGCAGGGCAGAATTTGATGCAGGTTGACCTGCCTCCAAAGCCTGCATCCTGAAGCCCACACACATGAAAGATTCTGCTTATTGTACAGATATTTCCAAACAGGCGTTTTGTGCCATGCAACTCATCCCCTGGTCCTACTGATGCTACATCTTTAAGATCTACCACTTTCCTTTTTTTCTACCACTGTCCCCAGGCAAGGTTTCCTAATTTCACACCTAGCTGTTGTCTCCCCTCTCCTATTCACCCTGCATATTCTTACCAGCCATCTTTGAGATGGTTGCTGGTTGCTCCTATCTTCCCCATTCTTAAAAATCCTTCAGTGGCATCCACAGTTTATAGAGAATAAAATGTGTGGTCTGTAGCACGAAATTCATGGTTTTCACCCTCTCTCCCAGCTCAAGTTTTCAAGTTCATTTCCTCTCTCCTCCTCTCACTCCATAAATAGGTAGTGGTGGCCATACTCTGGACCATTTATGATTTCTGTAACATGGCTTTGCCCCTGCTATCACGTTTCTCCAGAATTCTCTTCCCCACCCACTCCACTGTCCTCTGTGCCTGTGGAAACCCACTTAACTACCACTTCTCCAGCCTGCTTCCAGCAGTCATCATTTCATCCATTTAATTACTGTAGCTCTTGACCTACAACCTCTCCTTATAACATGCCTTGTACCACAGATGGTTGAGTACATCTGTATCCCACAGATGGAATGCTCCCCCCTCAGGGCAACAACTGGCAAATCTGGGGGCTGTTCAGTGCCAAGCACAGTGTCTAGTACCTCATACAGGTCACAGAATACAAATAGACACAATATGAGTGAATAAATTGTTCACTTTTGACATAAATTTATTTTCATAATAGGTGCAAACTGTGTCCTCAGAAGTATTCCACAATAAAGAAAAAGGAGAACTGTTTTATTGTTAATTGATTTGTCTGTTTTACATAAGTTCTTAAGCATACAAAGAATGAAAATGCCAATGCCTGCACTTAACACCACAAAAAGTCCCATGAATGAGATATAGTCCTTGAGTCAATTAAATCAATTTTTGTCCTACAAGCAATGCCCTCCCTTCCCTTCCTCACACTCTACAAAAGCAGATTATAGAAATGCTCCTTAGACCCTGGTCCTCTGCTCCACCCTCTGCTGGGGGCAGGATTTACAAAGTAATTCTCTCCGTCAGCTGAAATTAAAATTCACAAAATTAGGACAAAGGGTCCCCACCCTACAATTGTTTACCATCCAATTAATCAGCTGAGTGAAACTTTGTACCATAAAAAACATGAGAAGTAAGGTAAATCAAACACCAGACAATCTCAAAAACTTTTTTGAGCCATTGGTTGTGCTACGATTTGCAGGAAAGCAGTTTCTAGGCAAGGGTGTGCTCTACTTGGTGCAATCTGAATTTAAGTTGCGGTTGTTCAGCATAGGCAGCAGGGAGTTGCTACTGCAAACACCATACACAACCGGCCTAGGCATTTCACAGAATAAAGTTTAAGGTTCACATCTCTAAGCGAGCAGATATTTTTTTTTTCTGGCAAGAAGGTTCTAAGGAGTCTCTTTCTTTTGTAAATGTTTGGACCACCCAGAAGGTGGATCTACTATCACAGCCAAGTTACAGATGGTTTGTTTTCATAAATGGTCCAATTTGGAATAAAGCAGAAGCTTCTTTTGTGTACACGATGTAAAACTACTGTACACATCTCATGCCACTATGTCCCTTCCCTCTCAGTTCCTCTTCCCTCCTTTCTATACAGACCACACCCAGGATCGAGATCACTGTTAACCGAGAATGCTATATACGGACTTGGGTGCCAACATAGAAAATGTTACTGTATTCTTAACAGTATTCTTAGGCTTTAACACTGAATAGTACTTTAATATAAACTATATTTGAAATTTGAACTTTTAGAAAGAAATGTTTACAGTTGAATACAGTCTTTTTCCAGGTAGCCCTCGGTATCCTTGAGGGATTGGTTCCAGGACGCCCACTACTCTATGCCCCCAACCCCCCCCAATGATACCAAAACCCCAGGATGCTCAAGTCTCTTATATAAAATGGTATTTGCGGGGCTTCCCTGGTGGCACAGTGGTTGAGAGTCCGCCTGCCGATGCAGAGGACACGGGTTCGTGCCCCAGTCCGGGAAGATCCCACATGCCACGGAGCGGCTGGGCCCGTGAGCCATGGCCGTTGAGCCTGTGCGTCCGGAGCCTGTGCTTCGCAAATGGGAGAGGCCACAACAGTGAGAGGCCCACATACCACACACACACACAAAAATGGTATTTGCATATAACCTAGGTACATCCTCCCCTATACTTTAAATCATCTCTAGATTATTTCTAATACCTAATGCAATGTAAATGCTATGTAAATAGTTGCCAGCATGTGGCAAATTCAAGTTTTGTTTTTTGGAACTCCCTGGAATTTTTTTTCAAATATTTTCAACCCTCGGTTTGTTGAATCCTGGATGCGGAACCCACGGATTCAGAGGGGTGACTGTACTTAATTGTGTTTTGACAAAGACGTGTCTGCATGGAAGCACTGGTTCATCTGTTCCCAACATTCATACATCCCACAAGCACCTACTAAGTGCAGAAGGTATTGGAAGGCACTGTGTGGGATACAGTCATCACTTAATGGGTTTCTACTCCCCTGAGAAGTTCATGTATCAGCAGAAGAGACATGAACACAAACTACCATGATACAACTTGTCCAGGATTCCATGAAAAAAGTATGGCCAAAGAGATGGGCGGAGTCAGGGGAGAGAGAATACCTGCAGGGGTGGCATTTGGGAATAGTGGAGGAGCTTGAGCTATAGAGTTAGACAGACCCACGAGGAATTTCAAATTTTCACTGGATGTGCGACCCTAAGCAAGTTTCTTATACTTTCTGAGCAACAGTTTTCTCATCTTAAAAGATACCAATACCAACAGTATAACAACACCATAATAGTTCTCACCTGTGGCTGCACATTAGCCTCACCCAGATAAGTTGAAAATACCCATGCCCAGGTGCTACTTGCAGAGATACTGATTGAACTAGAAATGTAGACTGCAGCCAGGCGCTGGAGGGCTTTTGATGCCAGGTGAGGTACTGAAGTTTATTTGTAGGCAATGGAGAACAACTGAATGATGGGATTTCTTATTATTTAGATCCAGGCCCCACAGGACAGCCCTTCCGTATATACTTGTCTTTCTCCATAACTATTTCAACCATTTTTATTCTTAATATAGAAATCCCACCAGGGCGATATTCTGGACTTCCCTCATGTTTCCCACAGTTAACAGGACATTGATAGATGCTTTACCTGTGATTTAAGTTAGTTTTTTCCAAATAAACCCAAGTAATAGGTTGATGTGAAAAACAGAAATCATCTTAAGGGACTTGTTAAAAACACAAATTCCCTAGTTCCTCTGCTACAGCTTCTGTTTCGTGATTCCAGGCATCTGGATTGGACTGGAATCTTTATGTTAAGCAAAGACGCTCGGTGATCCTTCTAATCAGACAAGTTAGAAAACATGTGCTAAGTGATTGACAGCAGTACTATTTCCAATGATCTCTCGAATGCTTTTGACATTTGAGACCCTAATGTAACTGAAAAATGAAGAATCCACTGAAAAACTCTGCCTCATTTTAGCTCTCTTTTCTCATCATTTGGGAAAATGTTAAAAATAAACTGTGAGGCTTCCCTGGTGGCGCAGCGGTTGAGAGTCCGCCTGCCGATGCAGGGAACACGGGTTCGTGCCCCGTCCGGGAAGGTCCCACATGCCGCGGAACGGCTGGGCCCGTGAGCCATGGCCGCTGAGCCTGCGGGTCCGGAGCCTGTGCTCCGCAACGGGAGAAGCCACAACAGTGAGAGGCCTGCGTACCGCAAAAAAAAAATAAAAAAAATAAACTGTGAGCAATAATATAAAGTAATATAAATAAACTTCAAAGAAATAATATAAAGTCATGCTGGAAAATAATACATTCTTATGATTAAACAGTTAGTTTAACTTACTAAAACCAGGCCAGTTTAGTGGCCATTTGCTGATCACTAGCCTAGCTGAACTTGAGAACTAAGAAGTGAAGGATCTTGTTTTCTCCTTGTCTCTCATCCATTTCTCTACAGATTCTTTTCTTTCTTATCAACTCCTAATGTGGAGGTCCCAGGACATCAATCGCCAGGTTGAACGCAAAGTCAGAAGTTGGTTCTGGCACCACTTTTCCTATTTAACTAATGAAACCGCTGGTGACATAGGTGTACAACTGCAGCCACCTTAGTGAGAAGCCACAGGTTCTCTGAAAAAGAGAAGCAGCCTGCTTTTTTATTTATTTATTTTTTTTTGCGGTACGCGGGCCTCTCACCGTTGTGGCCTCTCCCATTGCGGAGCACAGGCTCCGGGCGCGCAGGCTCAGTGGCCATGGCTCACGGGCCCAGCCACTCCGCGAAATGTGGGATCTTCCCGGACCGGGGCACGAACCCGTGTCCCCTGCATCGGCAGGTGAACTCTCAACCACTGCACCACTGGGGAAGCCCAGAAGCAGCCTTCTTTGTCCAGACTATCTTGGAGTTGTAATGGTGAGAGTTATTAGAAAGAGCTTTGCAAATGCATAAATATAAAATAGTTATTAACTTCCATATTAACGTTGTTAATAACATTTAGTAATATTCAGTATCTAAGTTCAGCACCCCAGATATCTCCGTTTAAAATTTATATAGACAGATACATACAACCCTACCTTCCACTCATCTGAACCAGAGCTAAGAAATAATGTTAGGCTCTTCTAAACCTAGATCGAGTATTATATATAAACCAAATTAAAGTATATTAGAAAAGCTAGGTGAGGCTTTAAAAGAAAACACATTGAGCCATGCTTTCTCATGTTTTAACTCAAAGAAAAGCATTTTGGTCTTAGAAGTTTAAAAATAGATGGTACTGATTTTGATGAAGTATAGCTAGAGAAAATTAAAAGTTTGAGGTTATTTTTAGCACTACAAGTCACACTGGGGATGGAAACTTTTATTCTTCTAACAGTTCTGAGTGTGGGAGAATTTCTAAATGGAAAAACATCTACGAAATGCCTCCTAAGAGCTGAGATGTAATGATCTCCAGTTGTCCTCACCCAGCCCCCATCATCTGTCCCTTCTGGAAATTATCATGATTGCTACAGTGAGGTGATCACAGACATGAAATGAGTACAATAAACATTTTAGTGATGAGACTGAAGATCTAGGACCCATGAGAATTTTTCATTTTAGCAATTTTATTCATTTATATGAATCTTGGATCTCTCTTAGAGCCACTTAAATCGAATTGATGACTAGATTAAGCAAAGAGACGCAAAATGAATTAACGACTGATCCTCAAGTTAAACGTTAGGAACAGTCTAGTTTATTCCTGGAGCAGTTTGAGGTTTAAGTCAAGTTCTACATATTATTCCGATCTAAACAGTGGGAACTTGCAAAAGGAACAATGACAGGTTGACATTAATAGCCATAATCTTCGGGTATATAAGGACTGGTTATTTTTGTTTCACAAGTTCTGAGTTAAATGTCCATTTCATTCATTTTTCAAGTAATTATTCATCAAGTCCAAACACTGAGTATACACTGTGAAGCATTAGGAATATACATAATATTATCGATACCCTCAAGAACTTCCAGTTGGGAAAACAGACACTACACAAGTAAATAAACAAACATGAAAGTACAAACTGTCTTCATAAAGGAAAACAATAGGGTGTAACAGTGGGGAGGGGGCTGGAGAAACTGCCTCAGATGTCTGGGGAGGTCTCTCTGAGAACATGACATTGAAGCCTAAAGCGAAAGGAGGGGAAGCAGCAGCCGGGTGAAGAGTCAGGGGAAGCATTTCAGGAGCAAGTCAGCAGTGCGCACAAAGCCCAGAAGAGGGTGCAAGCCTGGCCTATCTGAGGAATTAAAAGGAAATCAGACTAGCTGTAGAGCAGTGGATCGGGAGGGGTGGGGGAGCGAGGATGGTGTGAGATGATGTTAGAGAAGCAGGCAGGGGGAGACCGGGTGAGGACTATTAGGCAGTTGTAAATAGTTGGGATTTACCCAGAAAAACTGGGAGTAGGTATAGCCATCAAAACAATCATCGACTTTAACTGTACACTCAACATGTTTTTGTTGAAATAATTTGAAATATCTGAAATAATTTCAGATATGCCACTTTCTAAACATTTAACAACCATATTTTTCCCATATCATTTCTCATATCACTTCCCCCCATATCATTTCTCATATCATTCCCCACCTCCCCTCCAAAAAGAAACCCACGTGGATTTCTCGTAGACAGCATAAGGTTAGATCTTGCGTGTTTGTTTTTTTTTTACCCAGTTTGACAGACTCTGTTAAAAAACAGAACGTGATGTGTTTTTAGGCCATTTACATATAATGTAATTACTGGTATGGTTTAATTCAAAGCTACCATCTTGTTAGTTGTTTTCTATTTGTTCCATCTGTTCTTCATGCATGGAGAAGAGACTGTGAGTAGATACAAACTTCTATTGTATCTGTGGTTCCCACAGGTTCTAGACTCTCAATGCTTAACTCATACTTGGCTTTTAGCAATTTGTTCATAATTTTAGCTAAACTCTTCTTAACTAGTTCATTTGGCCCCATCTTCCTCCATGCTCTGGTACAGGTGAGCCCATGCTTGTCTTTCCTTGGAGACTGCCATCTTTCCTTAGATTCCAAGCTAGTTGGTTGCCCTGCAACTTCAGCTCTCTGAAGAGTCCACGAAAAGTCACAATTTTGCATATTATCTGGCTTCTTCTTGTTAATACAAGAGTGATTCTCTTTCCAGCTTTCTATATCCCAGGTGCATTATAGGGATGCTAAAGTAGATTCAGTTCAAATATTAAGGCTCCCCAGATGTAGTAAAGTTCTATTGCTAAATAGAGAGTTCTGGGTGACAAAAAATCCTAAAAAACAAATGATTTTCTTTAAAGCCAAGAAAATATGATCCAAACAGGGAGTTATGGAAGATGTTTTAAAAGAGAATCAGAGATGTCATGATGGAGGAAATGTGGTTAGTAAGAAACAAAATTATTTCACATAATGGGAAAATAGAGATAGCACAACTGATCAATTAAGAGTTATTTTAAGTGAGATTTAATATGTCCTGCCCAGTGAAGCATTTAAAATGTTACCAAAGTGAAATATAAACGTTGGGCACAAAACTCAAGATGCTGCAGGGTGTTGATTTTAAACATGTGATGATCTCTTCCAGATTACTCCAGGAAGCAAGGCGGCAGCTGCCAACCTGTGTCCCGGAGATGTCATCCTGGCTATTGATGGCTTCGGTACTGAGTCCATGACTCATGCTGATGCACAGGACAGGATTAAAGCAGCAGCACACCAGCTGTGTCTCAAAATTGACAGGTGCTCTTTAATTAATGGTGTTAAAATTTGATCTGTTTTGCAGAAGAACCTGAACCAGAAGTATAAATGATTTCATCTCCCCAGTGAGAAGGAGTGTCACAGGACCCAGAATTTTGACTGGCTTTTTTTTAATGTATCAGCCACCTTGGTCTGTTCTTCACTGAAGTCAGTCAATCTAGTAGCTGTTAACAAAGGATTTCTAAAAAGAATCCTCTGGAATGTCAGAATAATGAAAGAGCCTAAAATAACTTTTTTCCTGTACTAACACAGTTAGTTGACCATGAAAATAGAACCATTTAAGGTATTGCCCACATAAGCACTGAACAGCATGTCCAGTTATACTGCTGTTCTAAACACGGTAGAGAACATAGAGTGGAATTTAGAGATGCTCCTAAAAGAATTTCATGCTTGCCAAGATGTGATCATGTTAAAATCTGGTTGCTAATATCCTGTATGCTATTGGCTGTTCTGTACTGAACTCAGCCCAGAAGAATCCCACAAGGTATGAGAGGGTATATGTACATGAAGGTTTTAGACAATGAGACATTTCTGACCAAAAACAACATTAGGAAATTGATCTATTGCCATCAGACTCGTGATCTGAAACTGAATTGTGAAAATAATGATTTGTTATAGTGGTTGTTAGCATGTGTGTTTATCCTCTTGCTGTTGTCCAAAGGCACAATCAGTCAGCCAATCTGCCATTTCACGAGGTGAAATTGACTCTTTCCCTATCTATGCATAACCTGTGTTCCTGTCAAGCACATAGTCCTGTAGGAGCCACATGATCCCAAGCAGATACATGAGAAGCGTTGGACAAAGCACATTTCCTTGATGCCAACAGCAAATCCACCTGACAACTCATTCACTGCCTCCTGTGGTGCCCCAGGTAGGACAGGAAGGAGGTTGAGGAGATCTAGGGGTCTAGTTTGTCCTGTGGTCATCTGCAGGGTGTGCCTCCAGAATCTCCCTGCCTTGTACTGCTTCCCACACGCACTGGAGACCCACTTTCTCCAGACACTGTACAATGTCCTCGCCTTAGTTCAGGTTGCTACAATCAAGTCCCATAGGCTGGGTGGCTCAAGCAACAAACATTTACTTCTCATAGTTATGGAGGCTGGAAGTCCAAGGTCAGGGAGCCAGCATGGTCGGGTTCTCGGTGAGAGCCCGCTTCCTGGTCACGTCCTCACATGGCCTTCTTTGGTGCATTCACACAGAGAGGGAAGAGATCTCATGCCTCTTCTTTTCATAAGGTCATTAATCCCACCGTGAGAGCCCTACTCTAATGATTTAATCTAACCCTAATTACCTCCCAAAGGCCATCACACTGGGGATTAGGATTTCAACATTTGAACCTGGGGTGTGGTGCGAGGACACAAACATTCAGTCCGCAGCGGTCCTCCAGGCAATTTTGATCCATTCAAGTCTTCCCAGAAGTACACTAAAAACACAAGACTAATTCAATAAGACAATACAGGATAATGAGCAAGGAATATTGCTTTTGCTCAAAGTATCAAGGGTTGTTAGTATTTTCAGAAACATAGGAAATTAAAGTATACTAAAACTAGAAGTACCATTAGAATTTGGGGTTTACAAACGTTGTTTTATTTACAGGGCGGAAACTCGCTTATGGTCTCCACAGGTAACTGAAGATGGAAAGGCTCATCCTTTCAAAATCAACTTAGAATCAGAACCACAGGTATGAATTTTGGAGTAAATAATGTTCACATTATGTTTCCTTTTAAATGATGTGGATACCTTCCAAGAGGGAGAAGTGGCAAATATTAAAAAAACTGGAATAAGCCACCTGATGAAGTGTTGTCTTTACTCTCCGAGATTAATTTATATTATCCGTGTCTTCTTACATCAAGAAAGAAAGAGAAGTATGCCTAGGCAAGCACCTTGTTAAAAGACAAATATGTTCTCATCAGGAAAAAGTCAGCTATATCTATGTATAGTCCACTTCCTTTATCATTTTTTATGATGGACATCTGCCAAATGACCATGAGGTAATCCAAGAAATTTAAGATGTTAACACAAAGCAAAACAAAAATAGGGTCAACCGTTTGAAACAGGTGTCTCTAATCTAATAGTTATTGTGAACTTCAATTCCTCAAGGTCTTCACCCAGCTCTCATGTTACATCCTTCTTTAATTATCAGCTCTGGCATTCTATAATTAAGTTCACTCCAGGAGAAGAGTTTTGCATTATGTAATCATGATGATATGCTGCCTGGGCTGCTGAATTACAAAAGATAAAGGATTTTCCCTTCAGGCAACTCTATATAATGAGCTAAATTAATCTAATAATCTGATGCTTATCCATGTCTACTTTCAAAACCTCCAAAAAACTGCAGTTAAACTAACCCTCAATTGTGCTATATGGGAAATGTAATCAAGAAAAGGATTTTAGAACCTCTGCTTGGTCAGCAGCTCCCCAAGTTTAATGAGACAGAGATATATAAATCGAATATCCCTTTTTAAACAATTATCCCTACTAAACTGATTAGATATTCCCAAAGTGTAGTTTTTCTATACATCTAATGAAAACGAACTGAAAGTATATTTATAATCTATGCTTCAGCAAGATTTCCCCTTTCAGGACCATCAACTCCTGAATTTGTCCTTCAAGCTTTCCATTTACCCCCATAAGCCCCCATGCATTTCACTCTCAGCAAAAACATGGAGAGTCCATACGTACATGTGTCTCATAGAGCTTCTAAAGATTTAAATAAAATAATATAGAAAAAGAACTTGGCACAGTGAAGTGCTCTCAGAGATGTTCAGTTAAGTGGGTGCTCTCATTATCATTGGGCATGGCACCCCTCCCACCAGCCTGTGATCAGAAGGCCTCCTGGCCTTTCTTGACAGTGAGATAGAAGGCGGCACAGAGCTTCCTGGAGACCAGTAATGTCTTCCTCATCACTATCCAAGGGTCATTACAAATTACTTTGGATTAAAACCTCATTTTCAGTTAAAATAAAAACCCCACCCCAACCCCAGGAGAAAAAAAAATACTAAGTAGTTTAACTTTTAGAGTTTGTTAGATCCTTGTCCTAGACTTTTGATTGGAGGGAAGGTAGAGCCTGAGCCTAAAAATCACTAAAAGCAAAAGGAGGAGAAAACAGGCCCCAAAGGGAGTGAGCAGGACATGGAAAATTCATGAAGGCGGAACCGGTGTGTCTGTTCTTACTCTGAGTCCCCCAGGCATGGCACACAGCAGGTGCTCACTAAATAGCTGACAGGTGAATGAAAGGAACTGGAGGCCCTAAAGATAAACTTCATTCGAACACCGCAGTCCTGGGAACCAACTCTCAGACTGGTGTTCTACTGCCACCCCCAGGGGCTGCACGTGAGGCAAAGAAATCACGAAAGCTGAGGGGGATATTTAGGTCAGGTAAGAGTGCCGCTCTTCAGGGTAGGTGAGTAAAAGGTAAAATGGACGAGACAGGTAATCAATGTGGTGAGAAGCGCTCTGCATGCTGATGGTGGCTTACCCCAACATCCAAGGTGGGTGGGCGAATAATGTCTCTAATTGACATCTTCCTGATAGAAGAAAGACTGCAGGAAGGAATACGAACAAAGTTCTCCAGGCAGAGCTGTCACCTGTAGACAGCCCTTGGAAGGAATGCCCAAGCCTACCTGGCTCCTGCAACCCTCATCAACTCATCATTTAAGAAGCAACACAAGAGAAAGAGATCACGTGGTGCTTTAAAAGACAGAAAAGGGAAATTTAAGGCTCATGTACACGCATATATTGACCTCCCCAATCTCTCATCATCACGAGGACAAACCACACAGAATTCCGAGTTTCCTTTTTCCATATAGAGCAGCAGTCCCCAACCTTTTTGGCACCAGGGACCAGTTTCGTGGAAGACAATTTTTCCACGGACGGCGGGGGCGGGGCGGATGCTTCAAGCGGTAACGCGAGCGATGGGCAGCGGCAGATGAAGCTTCGCTCGCACGTCCGCCGCTCACCTCCTGCTGTGCAGCCCGGTTCCTAACAGGTACTGGTCGGCAGCCTGGGGACTGGGGACCCCTGATATAGAGTACACATCCAAAATTGTACTGCACCCTTTTTCACATTTCCATTCACAATTTCTCCTAATTTTTGAAACCCGGTTTCATCAATACGAGATGCTAAGATATGGGACCAACTACACATATTTGACCAAAGTACCAAATCTCCAGTGATCCGTGATCATATTGCAGCGCCCACTCTGGCATGTGGGTGACTCAGCATGTACGTGTTTTATTAAGCACGCGATGAGCTTAGAGCATGCATGACTGGAGCCTGTGTTTTGCTAACATCTCTCCAGAATTGGAGTTTTCAAGGCAATTGTCTGAAGAGGCCTCTAGAAGAGGCCCCTTTTGCAGATCTAGGAGTATTAATTTATGACTATGGTTATTCTGAGAATTAATTTTAAAAGATAATCCAGATTTTAAATACTCTGGCCTCTTGTCAATCATTTATTAGCCCATGTGTCCTGAATTTTGGGGTCAGACAGTATGGATATTTATGATACTGCAAAGGGGGAAAAGATAAAGATGAGATAGGTTTAAAAAACAAAAAGGTGAAGATTGGGTTAAGGGCTACAGAAGTCAGTCAGATGGAGCTTTTGAACATTCCATTAGTTTGAGTCATGACTAATTTCTTACTTGCACCCTCTCCAAGAGGTGGGTGTTTGAAGGGCTCAGATATAAGGACCATTTCAGTTCTTCCCCTAAAGGACCAAAATATTCCTACCCCTACGAACCTCAGGCCAGATTTATGCATGACCAGTTCACATAACTTGGCACTTCAGGACATTCCCCACAAAATATAGCTAAATTTCAGCATAACCTCTCCTATCTGAAAATCCTATAGCACAAACTAGAACAAAATGCACTGATAAATATCAAACTGAATTTAACTTGTAGACTGAGATTGGAGAAAGGCTAAACTGTGGTTATGTTTGTATTCTTTTTTTTTTTTTTTTTAATTAATACAAAGCTATGCAAAGAGATGTCTTTTCTTTCTACAAATAAAGCAACCCCTTCTGGACAACAAAGGTGTGTCAGTCTGAAAAACAAATACCGTTAAATGTTTAAAATGCCATCGTATATGAGGGGATTCCCTGGCACTCCAGTGGTTAGGACTCCGTGCTCTCACAGCCAAGGGCCCAGGTTCAATCCGTGGTCGGGAAACTAGGACCCCACAAGCCACACGGTGCGGCCAAAAAAAATAAATAAATAAAATAAAGTAAAATAAAATAAAATGCCGTCTTATATGAATAGTAAAATGCCATTGAGCGATACAATATTTGAGCTCTTGTTTCTCAACCCAAGTCAAACTTCTATTGTAAGTTATCCGACCTTTGCTATTGGACTTAAATACTATTTTTCATGTTAAAAGCAATATATAGTCATTGGGGAAAAAAATCCATTACATCCTACCATCCGAGTACAGCCACAAATAATAAAATGTTAGTGTATTTTTTCCAGTTTTTTTTTCGCCTAGGAATAGGTTTGGGCTTTGGGGACTTTTTCTGACACAGTTATAGTAATAATGATACAAAATTTTAACATCTAGATTTTTCCATGCTATTATTAAATAGTTAAATTTTGGTTTTATGAATTTAGACTCGAATCTTAGGCTTAAAAGAAACTTTAGAGGTTGTTTAGATCAACCCCCAGCCATTGGATAAACTTCTTCCAGACAGTCCTGAACATGGCCTATGAGCAGGTGCATTTTTCTATACAACGCATTGCTCTAGAGAAAAGGTATGTGCTAGAGTTCTCTGTCCTGCTTCAAAGCTTATATTCTCCAATAAAACATTACCCTCATCTTTGTTTAATATTCGCTGAACAATTCAAAATTATAATGCAGTTACCACAAGGCAGGAAAGATGCTTTTCAGAAATAAAAATGCTGTTTTCTTTTTTTTTTTTTTTTTTTTTTTGCGGTACGTTGGTCTCTCACTGCTGTGGCCTCTCCCGTTGCGGAACACAGGCTCCGGACGCGCAGGCTCAGCGGCCATGGCTCACAGGCGCAGCCGCTCCGCGGCATGTGGGATCTTCCCAGACAGGGTCACGAACCCGTGTCCCCTGCATCGGCAGGCGGACTCTCAACCACTGCGCCACCAGGGAAGCCCTAAAATGCTGTTTTCTAAATGAGAAAGGACTGCATCCTTTCCATAAAAAATTTGATTAGTAAAGATATACTATATGCACAATCAAGTGGGGTATGAGTTGAAATTGTCATATTTTCATGAAATAACTTTATTCTACAATGTTTTCATAACTGGACGGCAGCCTACACAAAACAAATTTTCATAAAATCCCCAGTTTCCCAAACTCTTCCCCAGTGAGATATGGGGAACACTTGAAACAGATCACTGAAGAAAAAATAATTATAAGGGTGGCTTTATTTTTCATTTAAGGGGTGAGCATGAGGAGGGGGGCAGGGATTGTTCATAAATTCCAAACATGATAAAATATCATCATTTACTCAGTGTGGCTTTGATCAAATATATGATCACTTGACATAGTTTCCCTCATTTCACAGGCATTTTTTTCTTATAAATAAACAGACCTGTATATTATCACACATGTATCAAACATGTTATATCTGTTGGAGCTGGTTTTTGTCTCAGTTCTCAGACCGAATATTTATCCAAGTAAGAAACTGAAAGGTGAACTGTCTTTGAATGACATCATTGCTGAGGTCATTTCAAGGACGTGGGAGATTGCTGTCAAGAGGTGCATATTCTCCCAATGGCAGCGGATCTCTGTCAAATTACTTAGCTTTGATTCTGGCAGCTCTAGCATTCCATTAATTCAGAATATTACTCCTTAATATGAGCTCCTAACATTTAAAAATAATATTTAAAAATCTAATTAACTGCAATGATTATTTGTTGAATTCTTAAGACATAAGAATCATTTAGATGCTTTTGTCTGAGTAGAATAAACACAAGAGCTGGACTCTATTAACTGCTACATAATTTTTTTTTACTAGTATTTTCCATTACTAATGATTTTCCAGGAAAATATAAAAAGGAATTAAAGTGGAATAGCAAACTTCCCGTTGGTTTTGTCTTTTGATTCTGTTTGACCATCAACAATGATGTAAGACTTGGATAGAATGTTGCCTCTCCGTGCCATATTTAAATGTTTTGTTTACCTTTAGTGTATACACTTCATTGTGCTTTTTTTGGAATGACTACAGCAGCCCATAAACTAATGCTTTGCAAAAGCTAAATACAAATGTTTGAAGCCTGTATTAGAAACACTTCCTTTTATGATCTGAATGGAAAATAGAGTTTTACTGTTTTATTTTAACAAATTACACTTTTGTGACTTTTGCAATATGTAACTAAAACTGATAATGGCAAAGAAAAAGCTTGGAGCTAATTAACTTATGTGCTGCTTTTTGGAAGTACTACTAGAGACTATTATTGCACAAATATTTTCAGAGAAGATGCCTCACTTATAGGACTGTTGCCAACCATGTTTATTTATAACTTTAAGACAGAAGAAATAAGGGCAGAGATTTTTTCCCTCATAAAGCCATCCCATTATTTTTCCTAATTTTTGTAAATTCAATTCTGTATACCAAGATCTTTAAGGCATATTACTCTCAGTTTAAAAAAAAAACAAAAGCTAAATTCCACAAAGCTTGATTCCTTCAGTACTTCCTGATTCACTCTTTTAATTAACCTGAGAGATTTATAGTCCACCGAAACTAAATTAGGCAATTAGCCTTCTGTCTTCTTTCATATCCAAAAGAGGAGCAAAGGCTTGAATCATGGCCATTGTCATTACTTACGATTATTTGCCATTCACTTTTTTATGCCATAATAACAGCTAATCATAATGGTTAATCATAAAACACAGCCACTCCAAATTCATTATTAAATCAGCCAAAGCAAACAGATTGTACCAGTATATAAATGTTTGCATACATTTTCACATGTTCTGAGATTCAGCATTTTTCTAAAGCCATATTTGGTTGTTTCAGTCATTCTGCTATCTAATATCAGCAACTATAGTGTCACCCAACCAACTTCTAGGCAGTGAGTCATTATTCTGGAGATAAAAAAACTGAATCAATAAGATATTAGTCAATTCAATCATACTATAGAATCACAGGCTTTGTATTCAACTCAGACCTTCTTTTCAAGTTCAGGAGGCTGTTAAATTTTGCTGCCCAATGTTGATGAAAGACAAGCTCCTCTTTACCACATCACAGAATTTCAGGCACCATGAGATTTGGGGCACCTGGAGTCAAAGACGCTGCAGGGCTAGTATTTGAAGCTGCACCCCATTTGCCTTGTCGTAACTATTTTTTAAGTGGGCTTTGCCAACAGGCCTAGATGGGGGAATAGGGAGTGTGTGTGACAACTGCCTGCTCAGGAGAACCAAAAGGAAGCGGTGTGCTGCTTGGGTCTCTAAAGGAAATCATTGGTGTTCTCTGGAATCACCACGGAAAACTGTGGTTCCACCCCTAAGAAAGGAATACAATCTCTTTTCTTAAAAGCACCATCCCACACCTTACTCACCTACAATGACAAGAAAAAAAAATGATACGAATATTACAAGACCTTTTTATTCTTTTAATCAAAACAGTCTCCACTAACCATTTCAAATAATCATAAATGTTTGTACTGTTTGAGATCCGTGTGAAACACTGGTGGCACAGTCAAAAGTAAAGGAAGTTGACGTGAATGTGTGAGGAAAAATATTGTAAAGACTGATCTTACTAATTCTGCCAAATGAAAAGATTTGGAAAGAGAATGAGCTTGTGTGTATTTCAGCATTCCCTTTTGGTTTTCTTCTGCTGCTTAGAAGGAAAAAAATGTTTAATGAACTTTACAAAATTATAAATCTGTATAAAAACTGGAAAACGTGATTCCTACATTAGAAGACAGTAATACAGAGTTTCAGATCATTCAGGCATGTTTCACACCCAGAGTTTAGGAGTGACGCTTGGTCCTTTTCCCAAAGCAATGAAGTGAAAATCCTTTTGTGAATCATATAAATTAGCTCTCTCTAAATTGCTGACTTAAGTCTTTCTGGGATTAGAGTAAGCATGAACGCACAACATGAAATCATCACAATAGAAAGGGAGGGTTTTCTATAAATGTTATTCCTGCTTTCATAAGGAAAGTCTTTTAATTCCTATTATTTTTTCTAAATTTAAGGTTATATCTTAATGCAAATTAAGAATTTTGTTTGTTGTAGGAATTAAGAAAAAAACTTGGATTAGTTATAATGATTCAGCACAGTTATTCATAAATGCTCACTTGCTTTTTGATTGTTTTATTCTCCTGTTTTCTAAAATGGGGGAAATTTTAAGGTATTACTAGAAGAGAAAGCATATGTAAGTTCTACTTAAGAAAATGTTAAGTAGAATAATTTTTCTAAGCCAAAAATCTCACTTCTGACACAAAATTTCTGGATTCAAATGAGTCTTATGAGAATTTCTTAAAAGCTCTAGATGTAGAAGTCAGTAGGGAGCAGATAAGAGGTATAATATTCGAATTATTTTATAATATTTCAGATAAGGTCAGTTCCTTTGCACCTGAACACTTGGTGGGTGATTACAGCACATGTAAAGTTCACGGCGAATGCAGTCCTCCTTTAACCTGGCCATTAATCTCGTAGTGGTAAAGAAACCTTGATTAACAAGAGCGATGCTGTTTATTTGCGTGTTAACGGCTTTGTTGTGCATTCTGTGGCTCTGTGTATTTTGTCTGCCATTGTACAGGAGTTCAAACCCATTGGTGCCGGGTACAACAGAAGGGCCCAGCCTTTTGTTGCAGCAGCAAACATTGATGACAAAAGACAGGTAGTGAGCGCTTCCTATAACTCACCCATTGGGCTCTATTCAACCAGCAATATACAAGATGCGCTTCACGGGCAGCTGCGGGGGCTCATTCCTAGCTCACCTCAAAAGTAAGTACTCCACTTGGTTTCTGGCCACCATGTTCTTAATGGTGATAGTATGGCTTCTCTTCCTTTCAAAAGTCCAGCTCTTGCTGTTTTATTTTTACTTTCCTGAAGGCACGATCAGATTTTTATCTTAAAGACAAGCATCTAGAACATGGTTCTAATGTTCTGGAGTCCAATCTGCCAGTTCCCGAACATTTAGTGAATAGATGGTTAAAAGGAAGAAATCGCTCTGGTTCCATCATCACCCTTCTTAGTCATGTCAATATTTGGTGGTAAATAATCCTTTCTGTATGATTATTGTTCATTTAATTTTATCTAAATATATATATATATATATATTAGTCTTCCACTGAGGGACTTTTTTAACCCTTTGTTTTTACAGGATGTGAACTACTTTGAACACAAGCATAATATTCGGCCCAAACCTTTCATAATTCCAGGCCGAAGCAGGTCATAAAGCTTTAAGATTGTGAAGTGTGGAGTGCATGCATCTTTAATAAATCCTACTAATCACCAGGACACATAACTCTTAGGTGTTTGGAGTGACTTTTCTCATTTTGAAGCTTATTTCAAAAGCAAAAGAAACAAATTCACTTAGCAGAGAGGAGAGTAAATATTGACCAGATTATAGAGCTGTGAAGTATTACGCAATCCCTGTGTGTATTTATAACTGATACCCCTGCCGTTCTGAGGATCCCATCCAGAACACAGTGACCTTCTGAGGCAGGCAGATGTACCCTATCCCAGGGCAGGAAGGCCCAGGCAGCGGTCACAAAAATGAAAACCAGCCCGCGGTCAGGAGTAAGGAAGCAGGTGAGGCAAACGTGGAAAGGCTGGTGTAGCTTTCCATGTTTGACAGTCTCTGATCATCCCATCTCAGCACCTAATTCTCATTGCACCATCAGAGCCCAGTGGGTAATCCCACTCATTCTAGCTCTTACATAAAAATAAATTTGCGTTCTTATGGATACTTGCAAAGGAAGAGAAGCCACTTGAAAAGGAACTTTTCCACTTGGGGAAAATAAGTATAAAGAAAGAAAGAGTTGGAGGCAGAGAGACTTACTGGGTTACCCTCGTGGATAACTGTGCACACACTGGAATAAAAATGAGCAATATCTCTTTTGTCTGAGAAACAGATCACCTTCAGGTGATCCTTTTCAAATCTTCTCTAGAAACTGAATTCCACCCTACGAGGAAAGAAATTAATGCCCTGTCTTGCCACATCAGGAAATAGTGACTTCGGGAAACCTCAAACCCATTCCTCTGACCTCAGCTACATCAATCAGCCCAGAGGAAGGAAGTTGGGGGTTAGGCTGGATCAATCCTTACAGGTTAGGATCATTGAATAATGATCTACATCAGGTGTCACTAATAGGGGTCCATAGGTGGAGTCAATTCACAATGTTTTATTTAACCCTCCCGTTTTTAAAAATACTGAATTTAAGTTTAAGATGGAACATCTACTCTCTATCTTGCCAAAATGCCCATCATGCCTAAGCGTAAGATATCTGGCCCATTTTCATATATGTGTGACCCTCCTGGCCCCTGGAGACATCTGAGTTTATGATGCCTGCTGTGGATGGTCAGTCATCACTTGATGTATGATTTCCATGTGCAGACCTTTCTATAAGCTACAGTCAGGGCCAGAGGATTACCTCAAAATAAGTCAGACAATTTTGTGATATCAGACTCAGAAAGAAGGAGTGGAGTAAAAGAGCAGGAGAAAGATGCTAAAAAGGCAATGACTACCACATACATCTGTCCCCGCTACATATTATATCCCCAGCACCCAGAAAAGGGGCTGGGACAGAGTACATGCTCAACAAATGTTCATTAGATAAAGGAACAAAAGCCCAAGAGTACCTAATCAGACTTCCTGAGTAGCAAGAAGAATCAGGAGCTGTTACCCTTCCCTCATACTGGCAACTCTGAACAATCCTTTTTTTGCTTCTCTTAGTTTTTGCCTCCTTCATACTCCATTTTCCTCTGTATCTTTTCTCTATTTCTCCACATTCAACAGCTTCCCAACACCACTCTAAATAACATTTAAAAAACTGGATTAAAAATTAAAATGCTCTTTTACTATTGAATAAATATATACATAATATATACATCTTCCCAGAGAAGCAGAGTAAAATGGATATACTTGCATTCTTTTGAGCTTAGCATAACGGTAAGCTCACTAACTTGAGCTATAGGACTCCACGAGGCTCAAATAAAATGATACATTAGAGTAACACAGATCTTGCTTTTGCTGAAGTCCAATAACATTTAATTTTATAAAAATTCAGGGAAAGTCAAGGAGATTCAAGTATGTAATGCCCTTCTTTTACATTTTCATTTTAATTCAAACATGGTGATAATAATAAGCCACTCATAATTTTGTCATTGTAAGCTGGTGCCTTTCAATCTAGCTAAATTTGGAAGAGGGGAGTGGAAAAACAGAGATGAGAGGATCTGCTTAAAAAACAGGTACCAGTACACAAATCTTAAAAAAATTATAAAAAATGCTTCTATTATCCTTCCTTTCTTCCTGTTCCCCCTCACTATTTGCTCTAACTTCTGAATTTCTTGTTCTTACCAAATGATTGTTTATCAAGGTGGAATTTTGAGTGGCTACTTACCAAGCAATAACTACACCATTAATAAACAACTTTTGAATCAGAAGTAAGTTGGAGATTCTAATATATTCATTCCCCTGGGTCTTACTATTAGTTAGGGTTCTTTCAATGGTTTCATCATAATTGAAGCATATTAAAAGACCAGTATTTTCATATGAAAATATGTAAATGTTTAAAGCCACAGCTATCATTATACAAGGCTAGATCCAAATGATAAAATACAATCTGGTGAGTGGTTTTTGGACAAGTTGCTTCTGGAAGCATGTCCCCAAAAGTCTATATACACACCAGGAAAGTTAGTTCTCTGTCTAATGATGTATCCAGGTGTATGATAGTAATTGAGTGTATCATCAACCTTACAGGTTGCCAAGCCAGTAAGTCAATGTCAAGAAATCTCAATGGTATCTACCTTTCCAGGTCACAGGAATAGGTCATGGTGACCCATGATGATCTCCACAGTGACTAGAGTCCATGAAAACTATTTTATTTAAAGAGTCAGTTCAAGAGCTCTTTTAAAATTGTCCCAGAAATTTATAAAAAGATAATTGTTTTTTGCTTAGGGTTTATTTCCTATCTATTCAATAGACACGGGCCCCTAAATAGAATGATAAAGAAACTAGGAAATAGAAGACACAGTCTCTGCTTAAATAAAGTTATATACACAAGCATGTATGTATATAAGAACACTAATAACAGAAAAAAATGTAATACTAATTACAACTGTAAAATAAGGTATATCTGTAAGTTCTGAGTTGACCATAGTTTACTTCTCCACTATCTAGTACCATGCCTGGCACACAGTAAGGTCAAGTAGTTATAAATCCTTATTGAAAACATTCACTATTTTAAGCCGAAGTCTCCCAATATTGAAACTCAGTGTTTCAAATCCCTAAATTACAATTTAATAAACTTCATTATACTGAGGTCAAATCAATACGATCCTGACTAAACTGCACTATAACTGAAATGTTATTTCTATTCTTTTACCAACTGAAGTCAATTTCAGCATAGTGTTGAGCCTATGAAAATGGTGAATAAACCATTTGACATTTTTGTATGTGATCAACCAATTTACCTGATTGAGTTTCAAACAAGTTCTCAGTAGTCGGGAAGTGAAGGAGCAAGTTCATATATACCTGCCCCATTCAGTCTTTGCAGGCAGTTGAACTGGATAACACAACACACACAAAAATTTCAATTCATCTAGTGACATGGGCTGCTCAGACTATCCAGGCTGCAGCATTGATGAAGCCAGTAAAATCAATGCCCAATATATGCTTTTGGTTTTTGCTCTCTGAATGGGGCTGAGGTTGGCATTAGTAGCCCTAGAGAGTAAACAGGTGTGCGGCCATACTTGAGCCCTCAGAGGACACTTTCAGGAAAACACACCATATAAATTTGTTCTCTGCCTTCAGTTTACAGCAACACTAACCTGCAGGCATGACTGAAGTTCACATTAATATTACTATTTCTTTTAGCTTTGTCTTAAGTGACTGCGCTTAAAAAAAACCAATATATTCCTTTTCTCAAAAAATGCATTTCTCATGTTGCACTTAAAATGCATGTAGAAAAATGACTTTTTAGTCATTGGCATCAGTTATGACTAACCTCCTATCCACAGAAAATTCTATTCATAGAGAATAAGAAATTTCTGTAGTTGTCCTTAAAATTGCATGACTGGCCTTTCTGATGTTTTAATAATGAGTTGCCTTAAATTGTCTTTAAAAGGAAATGAGAAATATGCATGGAAATATATGTGTGCTTCCAAAATTTTACAAGAAATAGCTATGTATAAAAGAAATATATATATCTTAGCTCTAAGTAGCATTCACAGAGTTTGAGATCACCTTATTTCCCCTCTAATCATTCATTTCAAGGCGACAGGCATTTATTGGCTGTTTCTAGAGCCTATATCAAATCACCGAACAATTTTTTAAAGTGTAGTCTTCACAAAATGAAAGAATGAAAGTAGAAAAAGTTAAAATAGTAACAATAAAATATTTACAAAATAGTCTTAAAACATAATCTCTATCACATAACCTACAAGTTGCCAATTACTATTCAATTAAGGCCCAAATGCATTTCTGAAAATACTTCTTATTTTGAAATGTTTAGCCTAAATATTTGATTGGATCTTCATGCTGCATACTCATATCACTATTTGTGAAGGATCACTCATTAATATTTTAATTTTAAAAACTGCAGCTCAGAAATGTAAAAGGATGTCCCGCTAATGTAATTTCCCTGAGCCACTTCCTTTATGCACAGCTCTTCTTACGTGAAGCCTTCGCCTCGTAGAACATATTGTCTAGTAGAACAGAGCCAAACAATGCAATATCACCTGTACCTTTTAATTTTGTTAAACGTTTTTCAATCATGAATTTTTAAATGTCTTCCCTTTTGAAAATAACTTCTAGCCAGAAATAAATATTTCTTTTTCATTTGATTTAATTCACCTCTTACTTTTAACCTCTCTGTACTTGTTCTCTGTGTTCTCCTGTCTGGATTTTCTGGTTCCTGTGTCATCTCTGTGTAACGTGGTCATTAACACAGTGGATGCAGTACTCCGTCCGGTATTGACGGTGGCAGTGGACGTAGCACCCCTTCTTCTGTCAGTACTCTTAGTACTATTTACCCAGGTGACTTGAAAGTTGCTGCTAAGATGGCCCCTAACATTCCTTTGGAAATGGAACTTCCTGGTGTGAAGATTATACATGCTCAGTTTAATACACCTATGCAGTTGTACTCAGATGACAATATTATGGAAACACTTCAGGGTCAGGTTTCAACAGCTCTAGGGGAAACGCCCTCAATGAGGTAATATGAGTCTTTTTGAACCATCGGCATATTAACTAAACACATGTGCAATGTCAATTTTACTGGTGTCTTGTACACTGTCTTATCATTGAAAGAAAGCTTTGTGAAAAGCTTTCAAAAAAATATACTAAGGATTTATTGCAGATATCTAGGCCTAATGGTAAGGGAGATTTGAAAAATTAACCAAGTAGAGTTTTATGTGACAGATCGCAATAAACTGAAATCATGGAAGGACCAAACATATATGTCTTTGGAAAAACTGCAGTGTAGTTTACGAATGTCTGGTACAATACTTCTCAAAAGTGATTTATAATCTGGGATAATCTATGTTTCTCCCTTTGGGGGTCAAAAACTGGGAAAGTGATGGGAAGTTCAGAGAAGTTTTAAAAGAGATGATACCTCTTTTCTCTTCTAATGGCATCTTGTGGAGAGTTAATTATTTTTCATTTAAAATTTTTGCCATGAATAAGGGTTTATAAGTGAATATCTCAAGCTACTGCTATAGCCATTTAATTTCCATTGATCGCTATTTTGACTTTCTTCTTTATTATGCATATTTGTTCAAAGTACTTTTGCCATCAAGCATTTTCAATTAAAAAAATTTATTATAAGATAAAATCTTATTACTTCTTTCAATATTATAGGGCCATTATAAAGTATGATAATGCTTATGATTGCTATGTAACAATATCCCAAAGATAATTCTTGGGATGAATACAATGTGATAATAATACCATAATGTATCTCAAAGCCATTTGCAAGGAGTTTCAGATATATAAGATGATTACTTCCAAATATGACACTGGTAATAAAAATATGTGCAAATAACTACCTTTTCTAGATAATGCAATTAAATAACATAAAATAATAAAGCAACTCAGTGCCTGACATGTATTTTTATTGTGGCTTTTTTTTATTGTTCATCATGAATATATCTGTAGAAAGTTTATTAAAATATAGCTTCTATCATTTTTGTAAATGAATTATAATGTGGCTATTTAGTAGCCAACAAAGCTGACTTCTATGTGAAAGTTGCTACATTATGCACTTTCAAACACTGACAAGTTGAATTTCTTCAGTTTACAAGCAAAATGATACCTTTATTGTCTACAGGAGTTAACAAAACTAAACCATACACTGTTGGTTTAATATCAGAAATGAATCTGAATTTTACTGACATCTTTATGACTGAGAATAATCAAACCGGGCTCACTCGTGCACTTTTTATCATATGTATGTTGTCCTTTTTTTTCCTGAGAAAGGTTAATTTTGTTCACATTATAGTACGCGGGCCTCTCGCTGTTGCGGCCTCCCCCGCCGCGGAGCACAGGCTCCGGACGCGCAGGCCCAGCGGCCATGGCCCACGGGCCCAGCCGCTCCGCGGCACGCGGGATCCTCCGGGACCGGGGCACGAACCCGCGTCCCCTGCATCGGCAGGCGGACCCTCAACCACTGCGCCACCTGGGAAGCCCAAGCATTATTTTTTAAATTACTATTTCCTAACAATCACATTTTAGTTGCCCTCCAAAGGATTTTGCCACATGGAGAAATGCTGATGTGACCCCCAGGTTAATTACTGCTATTTTTAAGGCAACCCGTGTGAATTCACATTATATTTTTAGCTATTGATATAATAGAGATTAACTTGAAAATACTGAATCTCTGTCCAGGAGTTGCTGTAAATATAGTGATCACTGCTTGTTGATATCTTGTGGCTTCTTGCACATACACACACTCCTGACGCTGTTTCACCCACCATGTTGTGTTTCAGTGAACCCACGGCCTCCCCAGTGCCCCCCCAGTCAGATGTGTACCGGATGCTCCATGACAATCGGAATGAACCTACTCAGCCTCGCCAGTCAGGCTCCTTCAGGGTGCTCCAGGAACTAGTGAACGATGGTGAGCAGTCGTGAACATCTGCTGAAACGTTGTTGATAGAGGCTATTGGAAGGCTCAGGGTGGGGGAGGGCAGCAAGCATACTGGGAATGAGAGTCTGAAAACCGATTTTAGGGCTTCCCTGGTGGCGCAGTGGTTGAGAGTCCGCCTGCCGATGCAGGGGACACGGGTTCGTGCCTCGGTCTGGGAGGATCCCACATGCCGCGAAGCGGCTGGGCCCATGAGCCATGGCCGCTGAGCCTGCGCGTCCGGAGCCTGTGCTCCACAACGGGAGAGGCCACAACAGTGAGAGGCCCGCGTACCGCAAAAACAAACAAAACAAAACAAACAAAAAAAAAACCCGATTTTAATCAATCATCAAATGATTCTTTGCTGAAAAGGACTTGGGTGGTGCTTGGTTAAGGAAAGGAGCTTCCAGACATATCCAGGTAGCCACCAACTTGGTGATTAAAGGGTGCCGAAGACAAATCCCATCCACAGTAGTCAAGGGCTAGCTCAGCTTATAGATCATAAAATGTTGCAAAATTTCTCAGCCTCCCCCATATTCCAGGGTGTCATGATCATCAAAATTTTTAAATAACACTGGAATGAAACCTTACTGTGTTCCAAATCCTGGGCTGAGTGCTTTGCACACGTGGTCATTTAATCCTCACAATAACTCAGTGAGGTAGGAGCTATTATTTTCCCTATTTAACAAAAGAGAAAATGAGGCATAGAGAGGGTGGATTTGTACAAAGTCACACAGCAAGTAAGAAACAGAGTTGGGTCTCCAGCCCACTCCTGCTGTCCTCTGAAGACAATGTTTTTCCACTTCCAAAAGATATACTGTGCTTCAGAAGTTGCACAAAAATGCAAAATGCCCCATTAATATAGCCACTATAAAAAAAAAATGGAAAATGAGTGTTGGTGACGGTATGGAGAAATGGGGACCCCTGTGCATTGCTGATGGGGAATGTAACATGGTGCAGCCACTGTGAGAAACAGTAAGGCGGTTCCTCAAAAAGTTAAACATAGAATTGCCATAGGATCTACAATCCCACTGCTGCATGTATACTGAGGAGAACTGCAAGCAGGGACTCAAACCAATCCTCGTACACCAGCGTTCATAGAAGTATTATGCACAACTGCCAGAAGGTGGAAAGAACCTAAACGTCTATCCACACGTGAATGGATATACATAATGTGCTATATCCATAAAGTAGAGTATTATTCAGCCTTAAAAAGGAATGAAAATTCTGATACATGCTGCAACATGGATGAACCTTGAAAACATTCTGCTAAGTGAAATAAGCCAGAGACATAAGGATAGATATTGTACGATTCCATTTATATGAGGACCCTAGAATAGGCAAGTCATAGACACAGAAAGCAGAATAGAGGTCACCAGGGTCTGGAAGGAGGGGGGAATATGGAATTAATGTTTCCTGGGTACAGAGTTTCTGTTTTGGATGATGAAAAAGTTCTCGAAATAGATATTGGTGATGGTTGCACAACATTGGGAATATACTTAATGCTACTGAATGACACACTTAAAAATAGATAAGATGGTCGATTTTATGTATATTTTAACCACAATTAAAAAAAGAAGAATGCAAAATGCTCTCTGCCCCTCTGGGCATTTTGTAACAGCTCCCTATGACAACAACTACAACAATTTTTAACTTATTTTGTTTTGTAAGGTCCCATTTCAGAACAAATTATGCTTGAACCAGTCCTGCTTCTTCCTAAATGATATTGTGGGCAGCAACTAAGAATTCCTCAGGTTAAAGTGCACACCTTAAAATAGAAGCAAAGTATAAACTGTTGCCAGCTGTTCCCTTGCCATAAATGGAAACACTCTGTTTTTCAGATGACCGTCCTGCTGGAACTCGGAGTGTGAGAGCTCCAGTTACAAAAGTCCCATGCGGTGCTGGCAGCACACAGAAGATGCCACTCTGTGACAAATGTGGGAGTGGCATTGTGTAAGTTTCATTTTCAACCCCAAAATTCATCATAAATCTTGCTGTCAGTTCTCTATTTCTTGTACTTTAAGACTCCGTATATAGAAAAGGTTTTAAGTTTTATGAAAAACAAATTTCTATTCATTGACTTGAAATATAATGTCTACACATTTAGCACATTTTGACCAGAATTCCTTCGAGGTACCCCCAAATTAGCATAGAATGTGAGTCGGATATCTTGACTTATAATTTCAGACATATTCTGGTGAAAAGAAACCTCCCCAGAAGTATATTTAAAAAGTCATTTCCAAGAATAACTTCACTTCAAAAAGCCCTCCCTTTGTTAATATATATAGTCTTTGAACACTTCCTTTTCTGTATAGTCTTTGAACACTTCCTTTTCTGTATAAACCCAGGAAAACAAATATGGGGGTCACCCAGTTATTAATTAAAACACATTATCTTTACGTGGTTTCTTAAGTTACACAGATATTGAAATACGATTTTTAGACATAGAGTCAGCTTCCATTTCAAGGGACTTCATGTGTGAATAGCCACACTTGCCAGTTCAAACCTTCAAGTGAACCAGAGCATTTCAGTCTCTCCACCTCAGGCCCCATGTGGTCACCTCTTCCATCCCTTTTTTCTGTTCCTCTGTCATTAGCTCACACACTGAGGCACCATCTGTCCACTTACCCAGGACTCATCCCAGGAGGGCAGTGGGAGATAAGCCTGGTTACAGCACAGAAGGGGCTGTGAGACAGAGGAACAAGCAGGACAGGGAGATGGGAGCAGACAGGACCTCAAAACATACGACAGGTTGTGATGTTACACGAAGCAATGATTGCCCCCAAGTAGGAGTAAACTGCTTTGACGGTAGAGGCCAAGTCCACCCACCAGTGGAAATTCCATCTCTGCCCTTTGATCTGTTCTCTCTGTGTTCCATAGAATAGAGGCTGGACCACCAAGCTAGACAGTAAGCAGAGGGACTTTTAGTTGTGTAGACAACAACCTTGGCCAAAATCAGAATCCTTTGCAGAGGTGTCTGTTTTATCTGTATCATCTCTCCCTCTTTCAAAGAAACAACGGGGAATGATCATGAAGTAAGGATCCTATCATTTTTCTAAAAAAAAAAAAACCTGTTTGAGAAAGATCTGAAAAATATTCACATGTCAACAACAGAGAGACACATGTGAAGGTTTACTATGGCTGTCTTGGCTCTCCCTGATAACTACATCAGTTCCACAGCTGTGCCCAGCTTTGCAGCTATTGTTTCCTGAACGTGAAACAAATAACACCTGCCTTATCTGTAGTGCTGTCTGCCTTTGTATCATGTTTCGGGCTTTGTGGGGTTTTTTTTCATGAGGCCTCCTTTTCCCCCAACAGTGGTGCGGTTGTGAAGGTGAGGGACAAGCATCGGCATCCAGAGTGCTTCGTGTGTGCCGACTGTAACCTCAACCTCAAACAAAAGGGCTACTTCTTCGTGGAGGGGGAGCTGTACTGCGAAACCCACGCGCGGGCCCGCATGAGGCCCCCAGAGGGCTACGACACAGTAACTCTTTATCCCAAAGCTTAAGTCTCGGGCAGGCGGAACATGCACTCACCCAGGCGCACCCTCACAGGCAGACGTTAACGGCTTGGGGCAGAAGTAGAGCAAAGGGCTGACTCCAAATCTAGAACCAAGCTTTTAGACACTTATCTCACTGTATCCTCAGGAGAAGGAATGGGAGGCAGATGCCTGCTCTAACAGAAACATACATTCAACTGTATTTCTCTTTGGCGCTAGCAATAACTTAATGAAATTTAGAGCAATAATTTTTATGTCACACTCTATATTTTACATTTATAGTATGACCATCAAACATGTAAATGTCAAGATTTTAGGGGGAGTCTAATTGCCCTTCCTTAACCAGTTGATTTTGCAATTGTAGTACTTACGACAAATGACAATCTTGTATTCTAAGACAGCCTGCAGGTGTCTGTTATCTGTTTTAACTATAATAGTGCATGTCAGGGAGAAATTCCCTAGGTCTCTCTAGTTTCATATTCAAACAGTTATACTACTGGATGCAGCATACATAATAAATACATAAAACATTTTAAAAATACGTAACGAAGTGGCACTCAATGAATTCAGATAAAATCAACATTCCAATGAGAGGGCCCAGTCATATCTCGTTGTGCACACTAACAACACAGGTATTTTAAGAAAAATGTGGCTTCTTTAGTTTTCATAACTCATTCACTCTTCTGAGCCCACAATTTCTGCTGATAGGAGGGGAAATTTTAAATTTGCTAGTTAAAGGTGATGCAGTCTCTTTCAGATTAAAACAGTTTCTGCTGCTTTGAAATAGTCTCTTTCATTTCAAATGTCTCTTTCAGATAAATATTCAAAGTCAAGGTTCAGACTCTATCAAGGCTAGTTCTTTATTCTCAAGGCTGACCACCACCACCTTCTCCTTACCAAGATGGCACCTCCAAGAGGAGACATTTAGGGGACCCCCCTGAGGAAGGGAGGGGCTGCTGGTCTCCTGGGGTCCTGCCTGTATTCTCTGCTGAAATCCATGATTCCACTTGTGCTCTGTTTTCTCAACATAGTTGGGACCAGGCAACAAACCCACCTCTACCACCACATCCAAAAGTCTCAGCTCAGCCTTCCCTGGATTCTTGGATCCTTTGCATCTCAGACATGAACCCCATCTGGCCCCTGGCTCTGCTTTGTCACCTTGCCTCTCACTATGGTGGCTCCACGGCAATGCCCCCTTACTTGCATGTCTTACCTACTTCCCATGCACCTCACTGGGGACCCAGGGGAGCTTATGAAACTGTCCTCTCCAAGTACAAACATGGGAACCAGCAGGCTGGGGAGGTGGGGACTGTCTCAAGCCCTCAGTCTCACCACTGTCACAAAGTCATTTCTACCCTACTGGAGCAAGGATTCTCCTATTGTCCCAAATGGAAAATAGGGCCCGGGTTGTATTGCTCTGGGGTTCTCCCAAACTTAACTAATGATTTCTGACCCTGACCTGTCTGAGGTTTTGAACCAGTGAGAGGAGGCAGAACACCTGCCTGGCCCCTATGGGCATTTGAGATCAAAACTGGAACCCCTGGGCTTCCCTGGTGGCGCAGTGGTTGAGAGTCCGCCTGCCTATGCAGGGGACACGGGTTCGTGCCCTGGTCTGGGAAGATCCACATGCGGCGGAGCGGCTGGGCCCGTGAGACAAAAGAAAAAAACAAAAAACTGGAACCCCTGAACCAAAACACAAGTTCACTCACAGAGCTATTCCAATAAAATAGAAAATTCTGCAATCAAAGAAATGAATGTATTCAAATACATTACTTTTTTTGTTCAGATGTTACTTTAAAATATTTTTTCTGGTAAGGATATAATCTTAAAAGTTTGGAAGCTAGAGGGCAAATGCGTGGTAACTGACTTAGGAAACCTGAGAAAGTTAAAATCCAAAGCAGCCACGGAGAAAACTGAAAAACAACCCAATTTATTCTCCAGCATTGGAAACAGCATGGGAATCGACAGCACCAGGCATTCCTAGCACCAGGCCTTCCTGGACTAGGGGATAAAGGTAGAGTTATGATAAGGAGGATCACATACAAGCTGTTTGAAAAGCACTTAATCCCCACTGTGTCCCCTCTCTGCCCCTCCCCCTCCACACCCAAGGCACTTGTCAGCGGAAGTCTGCCTGGTGTTATCTGGAGAAGGTCAAACAGCATCTCTGAAGTCAGGAAGTGCTGTGGAAGGTATGTGTACCACACTAAAAAGAAGTTAAATAAGAATGAGAGACTCATGAGAAGGAAAGTGTAGATTACACACTATATTGTACATTAATGTACATTTGATGTTGGATATCAGACAATATTTCCCTTAAAATTATATTTTACACATTTTATATGTAGTAGAGTACATAATGAACTTCTTAAGTTCAGATGTTCAATAGTGAGAAAAAAAAGTAGTACAGTTTGAAAAAAAGTAGTAGTATAGTTCTGATCTGAAATTCAGGAAAGATAGGGCTTAAAGCTGATAATTCAGTCTCTGTGACTAAGGCTTGTGAAGCATACTCTAAAATTGCGTGTTCATTATTTTTATTCTTTTGACGATTAAATCTAGAAATTTAAACATATAGAGGAATTTATGACAGAATTAATCAATAGAAATGAATGCAATATAAAAATCGTTTTAAAATATGTAACGTACAGGGTGAAAATAGCAATGTTGTTAAAATGGAAAGGAGTTAAGACTTTGTTTAAAAAGCAAACAAATAACAGTATTTCCCCCATACTAGCATTTTGTCCTTCAAAACTGAATTCACTCCAGGTCTTATATAGGAATTCATGCCATGAACAAAGGATGCCAACTAGTTTTTTTTAGCTCTCAGAATACCATGTCTTCTTAGAAAGCAGAGTAGTCATTGTTTTTATATTTATAAGCTTATTAAAGCTAGCAATGAGCAATGAAATGATCCATGACAGAACTGGGCATCTGTAAACTTTGTACTCATGATTAACTAAACTGCTGTTTTTTCAGAGTAAATGCAGAACAGAGTTGCTACACTCTCTACCAATAGGACGACTGTTTGAGTGAAAAACAGTTCTAGTTATCACATACACTTGCACCTGTGTAAGCAAAGGTAAAGCTAATGGCTAATGTGACATGCAAACAGTTTAGATTATCTCTACATAAGCTAATCTAAAGTTTGTCCATCACAGGAATATCCCAAGATAGGCAGAATGGAGCTTTGGGGTTCTTCTACTAACAACTTGAGTTGCAAAAGTTTGTCAAGTTGTCCTTTGAACAGATTTATTTCAGCCCTGGGAAACTACTACTTACAACCATTATTCTGTATTATCCTGTTATCATGGCCTAATGTTTTTTTTTAAATGCTGTGCCATCTGAATCTTAAGCATAAAAAAAAGAAAACTGGAGACAGATTGAGGGTATTCAGATAATTGAAGTAAATAAACCATTTACCTGATCTACATGACTATTTCAAGATAATCGTCTTAAGCTTCTATTCATGTTGTAGAGTACTCAATAAATATTTAGTTGAGCACCCACCAAGTAAGAGATGTTGAATACTAGGCACAACAACAAAATGGATTTTTGAATGCGTTGGCTATATTTACAAATTGACATTTTCAAGCTAATTAGAATGCTTCATGCAATTAAGTTTAAAACAAAGCACCGGGCTTCCCTGGTGGCGCAGTGGTTGAGAGTCCGCCTGCCGATGCAGGGGACACGGGTTCGTGCTCCGGTCCGGGAGGATCCCACATGCCGTGGAGCAGCTGGGCCCGTGAGGATCCCACATGCCGTGGAGCGGCTGGGCCCGTGAGCCATGGCTGCTGAGCCTGCGCGTCCGGAGCCTGTGTTCCGCAACAGGAGAGGCCACAACAGTGAGAGGCCCACGTACCGCAAAAAAAAAAAAAAAAAACAAAGCACCTAGAAGTGGTTGCTTTATCATAATTTCTTTCTTCAAATTCTGTAGTACTATTATTCATCACTGTTCACATCAGAAGAACATAAAATGAGATATTAACATTATCTTCTGAATTACCTCAACAGTTTGTCCAACTATGCATAGAATGTCTAACAACATGTTTTCCTTCCTCTAAGGCATGTCAGCACACCTCAAATTATGAAAAACCCAAAGCACAATTCCGTTATCCAAAGAATAATACAAGAGCTGCTCTTAAAACCTAATTGCTACACCTATCATAAATATTAAGCATATAGATTTAAAGTTAAGATAGATATAAAATGCCAAATATTTGTTTGGGTTGAAAATTTCTCCATTCATTTATTCATTCAACTATTCATCTGGCGGAGTACATACAAGTCATTATTTCTGTACCAAGAGCAAAATTATGTTGTGAGTTTCAGAAGTACCTCTCATGAGACCAAATTCCCATTCCATCTCCTTTTCTGAAGTAGAGGGGGGGGGCGTTGAAAAACACAGGTGTGTGAATTACTCATCACGTGTATAAATGCCAAAGTGCACATATATCTGTGGTTCACTAAAACACCAGGGTTATGCTACCAACGTCACATGCAAGAGCCTGCGTTGTGTACCATTATGCCACACACAGCTGCACATGCTGCCCTGCCTGCCCCTTCACACATCTGGGCTCCACATGCTGCTGTCCAAGTTCCCAAAGCTCCCAACCATGACCCTTCCAGAACACTGCTTCATGCTGCAAACCTTCTCATTCCTCCTCATGATACTGTCCTTGATCCCAATCTTCAGATTAATGCTTGCTCTGCCAGCCAATGGAAAAGGCTAATTCCTGCTAAAAAGTACTAATAATTTTCTACTGCCCCCGTTTTTGTTTTTGTTTTTGTTTTTTGTGGTACGTGGGCCTCACTGTTGTGGCCTCTCCCATTGTGGAGCACAGGCTCTGGACGCGCAGGCTCAGCGGCCATGGCTCACGGGCCCAGCCGCTCCACGGCATGTGGGATCTTCCCAGACCGGGGCATGAACCCATGTCCCCTGCATCGGTAGGTGGACTCTCAACCACCGCGCCACCAGGGAAGCCCTCTACTGCCCCTTTTATGTCTAATACTTG